GTCTGCACAGCTTGCTGGAAGCAGCATTTCTCCTAAATGCTAGCAGAGGCAGCCCAAGTGTCTATGGCCAACAGGTAGGCAAAACATGCTGCATACATAGAATATTATTCAGCTCTCAAAATGGAAGGATATCCTGTCAGGTACCAAAACACAGCTGAATCTTAGACAGGCAGGGTCAAACAGGCCTATTATGTGCATAATTCCACTGAGAAGAGCACAGTGGCCAGATCTGTGGGGACAGATGTTGACTGGTGTTCAACAGGGGCGGGGGAGAGGTAGGTAAGGTTTAGGTTACTGGGTTTCATGAGTAGGAAAACTTCCTGCTTGTACTATAGTGGGAACATACTTAACACTGCTGAGCTACGTAGTTAGAAATACTGAAGATGGTACTTTTTTTTTTTTTGTCGGTCGTGGGGCTTGAACTCTGGGCCTGGGCACTGTCCCAGCCCTCTTCAGCTCAAGGTGAGTGCTCTACCACTTGAGCCACAGTGTCACTTCTAGTTTTCTAGTGGTTTATTGGAGATAAGAGTCTCACGGATGTTCCTGTCCGGGCTGGCTTTGAACCTCAATCCTCAGATCTCAGCCTCCTGAGAAGTTAGGATTACAGGCGTGAGCCACCGGTGCCCGGCTGGTACTTTTTGTTGTTGTTGGTTGTGGGGCTTGAACTCTGGGCCTGGGTGCTATCCCTCAGCTCTTCGGCTCAAGGCAAGTGCTCTACCACAGTGCCACAGAACCACAGCGCCACTTCCAGTTTTCTGGTGGTTTATTGGAGATAAGAATCTCACAAACTTTCCTGCCCAAGCTGGCTTTCAACCACGATCCTCAGATCTCAGCGTCCTGAGTAGCTAGGATGACAGGTGTGAGTCACCAGCGCCTGGTAAGATGGAACATTTTGTTTTTGTTTTTGTTTTGGGGGTCCGTTTGTGGGGCCTGAACTCTGGGCTTGGGCTCTGTCCCTCAGCTCTTCAGCTCAAGGCTAGCGCTCTACCACTTGAGCCACAGCACCACTTCCGGCTTTTTTCTTTTTGCTTATGTGGTGCTGAGGAATTGAACCCAGGGCCTCAGGCATGCAAGGCAAGTGCTCTACCACTGAGCCACCTTCCCAGCCCAAGATGGAACATTTTGGGTCCGGTTATGGGGCCTGAACTCTGAGCCTGGGCACTGTCCCTCAGCTCTTCAGCTCAAGGCTAACGCCCTACCACTTGAGCCACAGCGCCACTTCCGGCTTTTTTTCTTTTTGCTTATGTGGTGCTGGGGAATCAAACCCAGAGCCTCATGCATGCAAGGCAAGCGCTCTGCCACTGAGCCACCTTCCCAGCCCAAGATGGAACATTTTGAATCATGTGTTTGTCACCATAAAACACAGTAGCAGAGGAATCTGAGGGAAGTTGGCAAACCTCTGGGAGTGTGCCAGGTAGTTTTGGGAGGGGATACAGGCCTCCCCTCAAGGTGTGGCCCCCTCTCACTCCCGAGGGCTACCAGGGAGGCAGTTAGGAGTTAAGTGCTGGCTTGAGGTGAGTACGCATGAATTAGGAGTTAAATGCTGGCATCAGGTGAGTATGCGTGAATTAGGAATTGTTCAAACTGTACACACGTTGGGGTTAGGCTTCATTAAAATTCTACCTACCCATCCCCCTGATGAACTGTATTAAAAATGGATTTGAAGACAAGTCCCTGAAAAAGATACGTATCCAGCTGCACAAGATGGAGCTAGAGGGCTGCCCACAGCCACCTGCCTATCTTTCTCTTGCTACACAAGGGCAGTATACAAAATAGATGCACTGACTGCTCTTTGGGAAGAAAAGCTACCCAGATACCCATTCTGTAATGTCAGATGCCTTCCTGCTCACAACCCCACCAAAGCCAAGGACCAATGTCAGATTGTACATCTTCCACTGGGCCATTTCAGGGAGAATTTCTTTATACTTCAACATTCACCACGTCATAAAGCTGAGAAATTAGATATTATAAACCAGAATCACAAGCTATGTTTATGAAAGCAGTGTAGTGTAAATACAGCCACTCTTTTGTTGGAGTGTGTGTATGACCAAAGCTCTGAGAGTCACCATTTGTTACCGGCTCAGAGAATTTTCCAGAACACTCACTGTATAAACGAAGTATAAACAGATCTTCTCCCCTGTGGAAAATTCCACTGGAATCATGACTTCTATGGCTTGAGTCTCCAGTAAGGTGGTTGCTTTAAGATGGCTAAATGTTTGCATGGAACAGTCAGCTGGAGTGTTTCAACAGCTGAGCTCTCCAAATAAGAGCAAGAAATGCACAGTACTGTATTTTTGCAAGTGGCTGTTCAGGCCTGGAACCTGCTCTGGGTGGGAGCTCGGCGGTGGGGAGGTAAGGCTGGAAGTGTGTCTGAGCTCTGTTCCCCACATTACCCCTTCACCACCCCTCCACAAGAGCTCAGTGTTGGCAGAAGGTGGCAGGAAGGAAGGAGGCTGGGGGTCCGTGGTCCCCTTCATGGGCAGCGGGCATGCTGCCTCTTACTTAAGGACCTCTCTCCCCAAATCCCATTACCAATCTGGGGCGGTATTGTGGGGACCAAGTCTCTGACACATGGACCTTCAGAGGACATTCAAGATCCAAACCACAGATCACCTATGAGGCAGCGGGCAGGGGAGAGAGAGAGCGTGTTTAGGAAGAAAGGTGTTAAGAGTATCAAGGAGCCTAAATTCTGAGAGGTCAAAGTTCAAAATTTGGCTTGAACATTTATTAGTTGTCTGGCTTTGTGCAATCCACTGAACCGTTCAAAACCTGGGTTTCCTCTATAGCAAAATGAGATTCATTCATGTGGCTCACTCCGGAGAAAGATGTCTGCTGTGAACAGGGGGCTTCCGGTAGAACTCAGCTTCTTCCTCAATGTCTGGCACTCCCAGGCCCCCACACACACCAGGGCAGGTGGGAGTATACCAAACGCTCACCACGCCAGTCTCTAGGGGAGAGTAAAGTGAACAGCGAAGGCTGTCCTGGTGCTACCTATGTCCAAACGGTCCAGAATATGCTCTCTATAACCTTTTACTCCAGGCTTTGGGACTGGAAGAAGAGCGGTTTATTAGTGTAGAGAATGGGCTGTGGCACAGCTGGAAGGGATTGCTGCCTCAGCCCACCCTCCGCACGTCAACTCTCCCTACTGTAATTCCTCCTCACCTTGGGGGTACATGGCACCCTCTCTCTTTCCCTCCCCTCAGTATACCTGAACTTGGCCTCTACATATTGCTTTTAACTATATACACGTAAGTTAGGCAAGGGAAGAGAGTAGCAGTAACAAGCAATACTAAAATGTCTAATCATAGTAGCCCTGTGTGGTCAAGATGAAGTGAATGTGGACCATCTTGGCCAGGGAAACCGTGGTAAGTCATAATGCCAGCCTCTGTGTGGCTCAGGACACGTGGCTGACGAGATCCATTGGCTCCTGTTCTCCACAGCTCTGTTACAACATAAACATGGTAGAAATAGCCATTAGCCCTCATTGAGTACTCTCTATGTGCCAATTTTTTTATTGTGAAAATACCATACAGAGGGGTTACAATTACATGGGTAAGATAATCTATGTGCCAATTTTAAGCTTTTTTTTCCTCTCCCCCTTTTTTTTTTGATGGTCATGGAGCTTGAACTTGGGGCCTAAGCACTGTCTCTGAGCTCCTTTGTTCAAGATTAGCAATCTGCCATTTTGAGCCAAGTGCCACTTCTGATTTTCTGGTGGTTAATTGGAGATGAGAGTCTCATGGACTTTGCTACCCAGGCTGGCTTTGAACCTTGATCCTTAGATCACTGCCTCCTGAGTATCTAGGATTATAGGTGTGAACCACTGGCACCTGGCTTAATTTTAAGCATTTTATGAAAATAACTTTAGAGGGACTGGGAATGTGGCTTAGTGGTGGAATGCTTGCCTAGCATGCATGAAATCTTGCTTTGATTCCTCAGTATCACATATGCAGAAAAAGCCCAAAGTGGCACTGTGGCTCAAGTGGTAGAGTTCTAGCCTTGAGCAAAAGGATAGCACCCCGGTCCTGAGTTCAAGCCCCAGGACTGGAAAAGAAACAAACAAAGAATGCACAGCATACAAGTGGAAGGGCTGGGATTTGAACCATCTCCAAGCCCAGCAGAGGGCCAGCCAGCCCAGCAGAGGGCCAGCCAGCCCCGCAGGCCGTGAAGGGCTCTGCACTTGCTTCAGTCCTTTGCTACTAGAATCTTGCAGTGTTGAATGCGGAGGCCTGTGTTTACAGCACACACTGGGCTCTGCGAATTCTGAGGCTGGTCCTGACTCTGCTAAGCTACAGCAAAAGAAAAAGCACACATTGGCAGTGAAGGTGTGACTCAAGTGGTAGAGTGCCAGCCGAGAGTGGAAACACAAACTAGGCAAGCATGTGAGACTCTGAGTTTGAGCTCCACTATCAGCACAAAAAAAGAAAAGAAAACGTAGGCATTTTAAGTCTAGACCATGAAAGTTATCAACTCCCCAAACAGATCAAGAATTGTTTAATTTATTGAATCAAATGCTTTCTAATCTGTAATTTGTTGTGGACAGTAAGGAGCCTGGTGACCAGAGGACCTTGATGCCTTCCAGGCCCAGGGACTGCTCCCCAGCTCCCCAGCAGCTCCCATTTGACCGGGGAGACAGCTTACAAGACAGAGTTTATACTCCTGTTTCCTCCATGAGGAACTTGCAGCTTAAGTGATTCACCCAAGGCCGAGGGCTGCTCGAAGTGGACGAAAGATTAGATTTCAGCAGGCTTGGCCCCACCCAGAACGCCTCCGTACACTCAGTGTCTGCCAAGTGAGAGACAGAGCTAATGCACCTTCGTGAACAAGAATCCTATTGGCGTTTGACTTGCTAGAACATTACAGTAACAATAATTTTTATTATCAAGATTTGAGGTTTACTTTTAGCCCAGTAACTGGGACAAAGCTTGAGAGGTTGTAGCTTTTAATAACTCAAGGCATGAACGAAATGATAATCTCTGAAACATAGTTCATTGAGTAAAATGCACATCCCACATCCCCACATCCCCACATCCCGCATCCCACATCCCCGCATCCCACATCACCACATCCCACATCCCCACATCCTACATCCCACATCCCCACATCCTACATCCCCCATATCCTACATCCCCCATATCCCCACATCCTACATCCCCCATATCCCCACATCCCACATCCCCACATCCCACATCCCCACATCTCCACATCCCACATCCTATATCCCCAATATCCCCACATCCCGCATCCCATATCTCCACATCCCCCATCCCCACATCCCCACATTCCACATCCCACATCCTCACATCCCCGCATCCCACATCCTACACCTCACATCCCCACATCCTGCATCCCACATCCCCGCATCCCCGCATTCCTCATCCCCACATCCCGCATCCCACATCACCACATCCCACATCCCCACATCCTACATCCCCAATATCCCCACATCCCACATCCCCACATCCCACATCCCTCATCCCACATCCCCACATCCCCACAGCCTCACATCCCCCATCCCACATCCCCACATCCTACATCCCCAATATCCCCACATCCCACATCCCCACATCCCACATCACCACATCCCCACATCACCACATCCCACATCCCACACCCCACATCCCCACATCCCACATCTCTACATCCTACATCGTCACATCCCACATCCCCAATATCCCCACATCACCACATCCCTGCATCCCACATCCCACATCCTACATCCCCACATCCTTACATCCCCAATATACCCACATCCCTGCATCCCCACATCCCACATCTCCACATCCCACATCTCCATATCCTACATCCTCACATCCCACATCCCCAATATCCCCACATCCCTGCATCCCCACATCCCACATCCCACATCCTACATCCCCACATCCTTACATCCCCAATATCCCCACATCCCTGCATCCCCACATCCCACATTCCACATCCCCAATATCCCCACATCCCTGTATCCCCATATCCCGCATCCCACATCCCACATCCCCACATCCTATATCCCCCATATCCCCACATCCCACATGCCATATCTCCACATCCCACATCCCCACATCCCTCATCCCACATCCCAACAGCCTCACATCCCACATCACCACATCTCCACATCTCCACATCCCACATCCCCACATCCCTGCATCCCCACATTCCACATCCCACATCCTACATCCCCACATCTCTGCATCCCCACATCCCACATCCCCGCATCCCACAGCCCACATCCCCTCATCCTACATCCCATATCCCACATCTTCACATCCCAATCCCCACATCCCACACCTTACACCCCACATCCCACAACTTACATCTCACATCCCCACATCCCACAACCCACATCCCATATCACCACATCCCACAACCTCAATATCCCCACATCCCACACCCCACATCCTCACATCCCTCAATCCACATCCCATATCACCACATCCCACAACCCCAATATCCTCACATCCCTGCATCCCACATCCCTGCATCCCCACATCCCTGCACCCCACATCCCCGCATCTCCACATCCCCACATCCCCACATCCCACATCCCCACATCCCACATCCCTACATCCCACCTCCCACATCCCTACATCCCACCTCCCCACATCCCTACATCCCACATCCCTACATCCCACATCCTTGCATCCCACATCCCTGCATCCCACATCCCCGCATCCCACATCCCTGCATCCCACATTCCCACACCCCAGGTCCTACATCCCCGCATCCCCGTGTCCCCGCATCCCCACATCCCCGCATCCCACAACCCACATCCCACATCCCTACATCCCACCTCCCACATCCCCATATCCCCACATCCTACCTCCCCACATCCCACCTCCCCACATCCCCACATCCCACATCCCTACATCCCACCTCCCACATCCCCATATCCCCACATCCTACCTCCTCACATCCCACCTCCCCACATCCCCACATCCCCGCATCCCACCTCCCTACATCCCACCTCCCACATCCCCATATCCCTACATCCCACCTCCCCACATCTCTACATCCCATATCCCACCTCCCTGCATCCCCACATTTCACATCCCACACCCCCACATCCCGCATCTCTACATCCCACATTCCCACATCCCACATCCCCAATATCCTGGCATCCGCATCCAGGCTCCCAGCAGGAATACAGGAGCCTTTCCATGTTAATGTGTCGAATTAGTAGCACAGTAGCTAAGGCCCATGTCAGCCTAGTCACTGGGTTTGCCCAAACCAGTAGATTTATTTAGGGATCTCTTGACTTACCCTGGCCAAACATGTTGATCAAACCGAGCCCAGCAGAAACAGGCTGTGCAGTTTCCCCTCACATAAACACACAACACCTGTCTGAAGTCCAGCTGCCTGACCAACCACAGAGAGCACTGCAGCCATGCCCCTCACCACACCAACGCGGCTCTGGCCAACCTCAAACCAAGGAAAGAACAGTAGACACTTGCCTTTGAGCCGCTCCTTCTTAAATCCCTTAGAACAAGAGTTAAATATGGATGCCAGGCAAGACAACAAGTATGTATCAAGAACCTATTTTGTGCAATGTGCTGCTTGCTTAAAAAAAAAAAAAGAACAGAGTGGATGTGACTGAAGGCCCCCTGGACATGTGTGTGCGTGGGAAAGTCTGGTCTTTTCTGTGAAGCTGGATTTGAGGTGTCCCAAATCCACTGCGCTCCTCCAGCGGTGAGAGGGCCTCCAAACACCACTGCATTTGACACTTGAACTTGTCTTGGAATCTGAAAGAGAAAACAAGGCCTGGGAAGTGTCTGTGCCCGACCAGCAAGTCACTGTTATGGGCTGTTGGCACCGTCCCCCAAGTCAGGAGAGAGAGTGAAGTGAAGAGCTGAGGAGCTCACAGAGAACTGTTGAGAAACCACCAGGAAGGCATCTTACCTCCTGTTAGCAGGAAGGTGGCCCATGGGCTGAGCCTGGGGGGAAGAACTAGGGTGTGAAGAGACAGGCATGCAGGAAAAAGAGCAAGAGGGAGCTGCAAAGCTCTTTTCGCTTTGTTTCGTTCTCTGGACCAGAGGCCCGCAGTTGGGGCAGCAGTGCGGGCTGAGCTCCCTCCTGACCTCTCCTTCCAGCCTGGCTTTCCCACAGCACTGCAGCAAGCCTGCCTCTTCTCACTTAGCAGCATCCTCCTATAGCTCCAGAGCAAATCTCTGACCAGGAACTTCCCAGCATGCTGCGGGAGGCAGGGCTGGACAGGGCCCTCAGGGTAATTAACACCATGACACCTACATTGTAGGCGGAAGACATAAACACCCACTGAAGGTAGAGTCTCAGATTCTATTTATGTGTGTGAGATAAATGGTATCTTATTTAAGCCACTGTTTTATGTTTTTCTCTTACGTATAATGGAAACAGCTCTAACGCTCAATAGCCAGGGTGATTTTGACTCTGGAGGCACTGAGCTTTGAGCTCGAAACATCGCTCCTGTCAGGGGGGTCTTATGAGGAACAGAAGTGGTGGAGAGGTTGGGAAGGTGGCTCAGTGGTACAGCGCTTGCCTTGCATGCATGAGGCCCTGGGTTTGATTCCTCAGCACCACATAAGCAAAAAGAAAAAAGCCAGAAGTGGCGCTGTGGCTCAAGTGGTAGAACGCTAGCCTTGAGCTGAAGAGTTGAGGGACAGTGCCCAGGCCCAGAGTTCAGGCCCCAGGACCGGACCCAAGAAAAAAAAAAAAAGAAGTGGTAGGGATAGCGGAAGGGCTACTATGCCTGGGAAACTCAGACCTGCTCGTTTGCTGGGCATGGATGAGGGCTGTCCAAGCAGAGGGCCCGAGAAGACACAGAGGGCTCCAGACATGGAAGATGCCGGTTTGGGATGGAGTTCCTTGATCACGTGTGAGGCAGGAACTGTCTAGGAGTGTGAGACCCCAGGATGTGATGAAAGCATCACCACCACGCAGCTGTTGAAAAAACTCGCAGATAACCAACAAGAAGTCAGGGCCCCAGCCTGCAGCCACGGAGAGGGACTCCTGGAATGGAATCTGAGGAAAGTGCACAGGTATCAGCTAGGCACAGAGCGTGGTTAGATGATGTCCGCTCATTGAGAACAGCCAGGTTTCTACTGTCTTATTTAGAAGAGTTCACTGCCTTTTCTTCTGAAAGAATGTTCTTTTCTATAAAATCGGAATGTGCTAAGTGACTAAAGAATGGCTTAGAGTTTAAAAATAACTTGAAAGAAAAAAAAGAAGTACTTAAAAGATGTTGGACTGGGCTGGGAAGGTGGCTCAGTGGTAGGGTGCTTGCCTTGCATGCAGAGGCCCTGAGTTTGATTCCTCAGCACCACATAAGCAGAAAAAGCTGGAAGTGGCGCTGTGGCTCAAGTGGTAGAGCACTAGCCTTGAGCTGAAGAGCTGAGGGACAGAGCTCAGGCTCAGAGTTCAGGCCCAACTACAGACAAAAAAAAATGTTGGACTATAAGCAATGATAAGATCTATTAATTTGTTACAAATGAATGATATTCAAATTCAATCATTTCCTTTATGCCCACGAGCTGAACTTCTCTGAGAAACACTTTCCCCTGGCTCTGAAGTGTGACTCACGTGGTGGAGCGCAGGCCCAGCAAGTACCAGGGATGCTCTGACTGCAAACCCAAGTGCAGGTGAGCGGTCATCAGGACATCACCACCCCCACTCCGTCCTGGAGCTGCTATGATGTCTGTACAGTCACACACACGCCCTGCTGACCGTGATCCTCTGCGGGGACCCGGGAACTGCACTTCCCCCAGCATTTTTGTTGTTGTTGTTGTTGTTCGTGGGGCTTGAACTCTGGGCCTGAACACTGTCCCTCAGCTCTTCAGCTCAAGGCAAGCACTCTACCACTTGAGCCACAGAGCCACTTCTGGGTTTCTGGTAGTTTATTGGAGATAAGAGTCTCAAGGACTTTTCCTGCCTGGTCTGGCTTTGAACCGCAATCCTCAGATCCTCCTGAGTAGCTGGGATTGCAGGCATGAGCCATCAGCGCCCAGCCTTCTTCCAGCATTTATGGTGAAAGAGCAACACTTTTTTTTTGTCTTGGGGCTTGAACTCAGGGCCTGTGCGCTGTCCCAAGGCCTCTTTATGCTCAGGGCTAGCTCTCTACCACTTCAGCAGCCACAGTGCCTTTTCTGAGTAGTTTATTGGAGATTAGAATCCCACAGACTTTCCTGTTCGAACTGGCTTTGAACCATGATCCTCATATCTCAGTCTCCTGCGTAGCTACCATTACAGGTTTGAGCCACTAGTGCCTGGCTAAGAGCAACGCTCAAGGTCTTCTAATAGTCAAAGTCAGCCAGCAAGTGTCTCTCCTCCCCAGCCCCCCACCTGCACATTCAGTTTCTCAGCTGCAATGTGGCTGACATGTGGCTGGGCCTGAGCATGCACCAAACCACCTGCCTTCCCCTGCTGACTAGAAAAATCCTCAGATGTTGTCAAATGTCAAATGTTGTGACAGGAAAGTTATCTTTTGTTGAAGAGCCCAGGGGAGGAGGGAGTGTCTCCACCCTGCATTCTGCAGTGAAGCCTTGTTGCTTCCAGGATCTTGAGGCCCCTCCAGCAAACCTCTGCTCCCCAAGTGTGAACTGGCTTCACCTCTGTAGAGAGGCAGGGAGCTGTGGGAGCAGGGAGAATGCGGGGCAGAACCCAAGGGTGGGTGTCCCCTTCATCTCTCCAACGTGTTATAGAGAATTTGAACACCGCAGAGGAGGGAGAATTCCCAGCTGTCCCAACATTCAAAGTACTGTTAATATTTCTCTAAACAACATTTTCCTCATTATTATGTTTATGTTAAGCAGTCCGGAAAACAAACCACAAGAAAGTTTCTCATAACTTTATTACTCACAAAAACATATTTAGTATTGAGATATTTTTCCTTTTTGTCTTTGAAAATTAAAACTGAAGCTGGGTATAACAGCCAGCAGTGGAGTCCTGTGTGGCTCATCAGCTAGAGAGCTAGCCTTGAGCAGAAAAGCTCAGGGACAGCGCCCAGGCCCCTGGTTCAAGCCTGAAGACTGGAATAACAGGAAAGGCCTTTGTGATGCTCTGGTTAGTCTGGGGTAATTTGTCGGTCCTCACCTCTGCAGAGCTCTGCAGTGAAGGGGAAGAGTTCAGGAGTCCAGGACCGGACACCTCTGGAGGATGTTATCTGAACCACTACAGTAGTCCCTGATGAGGTGACACATCAGTGAAAAATGAAGGAAGAAGTGTGCAAGTCATGACGGGAGTCTGCAGAGGCTGCGTTCTGAGCAGTACGCACACCACACACCCAAAACACCAGCGCTAGGCCCCGAGGCAGGGCGGTGCTCCCTGTGCCTTTTGGAGACCAGAAGGCCAAAGAGCAATTGGAAGATAAGGAACAAGTAATTAGGGGGTGAGGCGGCCCACACAACAGTGGGGACATGTAAAAATTGTGACTTTTACTCTGAGGGAGATAAGAGTCCTTGTGGAATTTTAAGCTGCGGAATGACATTATCTAATACATTTTAAAAAAGTCTCTCGAGGGGCTGTGTGCAAGATGGCCAAAAGCTGGCACAACTGCACACAGCTGCCCATTGCCACATAATAAACCATCCTTGAACGGAAAGATTTTCGGGCAACAGAGTGACTTCTCATCACTGCACCGGTTGGTTGGATGGATCCTCTGTACTGTGGAGAATGCTGGGGTTGAAACCACTGCAGCCCAGTTTAGCTAACGCTGAGTGGCCATGAGGCCATGCATGTCACCCAAAGCCTGGTGTTCAGCAGGGCTGCAGTGCCAGCAGCACCTCTTCTGCAGGACAGCCAGACTTCTATATGGCACCTCAAGGTTCCAAGAGAGTGAATGTGGAAGCTGCCTGGCCTTTTTCTTTTCTTTTTTCATGGGGCTTGAACTCAGGGCCTGGGCACTTCCCAGAGCTTCTATTTGCTCAAGGCTAGCGCTCTACCAATTGGCACTGCAGCACCACTTTCTTTTCTGTTGGTTAATTGGAGATAAGAGTCTGAGACTTTCCTACCTGGGCTGGCTTTGAACCACTATCCTCAGGTCTCAGCCTTCCCAGTAGCAGGATGACAGGAATGAGCTACTGGTGCCCGGCTCTACCAGGCCTTTTAAGGACCAGCTTGAGCCTGGAACTGGGTGAGCATCTCTTTCCTGTATTCTCTTGGTTATGCAAGATAAAGGCCAACAGTGTGGGGGGAAGAGAAACAGTTTGCTCCTATTGAGGAGGAAGAGGGCTGACATCAGGCATGGTTAAAGGCATTGCGGTATTTCAGTGACAGG